CCTGTTGAGAATATCCGTCTCTTATATACAGGAAATACATCATGGCCTGATGTCCGTTTTAGGAAATAGCAACTGTAATTTATTATAAAAATGTCATGAGCATGGTTGTGCGCGCATGCGCGCGTGCGTACGTGCGTGGTGCGAGTGTATTACATATTATAATCAGGAGTAGATAATAGGATAGGGATTATCTACCCCTGATATAATGGCATTTAAAGATGAGGGCTTAAAGACAAGACCGTATAGATTATACAGGAATGAACATTTCATTTCAGAAAGCAGCTTTGATGAATGCTGCTTTTGTTACACTGACAATACACATTTTCTCTGCTCAAGGTTAAGCGATTTTAACATGAGTGCATTTATAAAGTTATATAAATTTGAGTAAATCTTAATTGGAAAGTGTATAGCATTTAACGATTTTTTCCCAAGTAGGTCTAATTTACCTCAAATAAATTGTAATTATAACATAATTGTAAATTTCTCGCCTCACATCAAAAATGTATTCATTAGGATTTGTTACTTAATTAATTACAAATAAACCTGCATGTTTCTGAATGTACTCTATGTGTAGCTATTAGTCGAATTTGAATCAAGTCGGAAAAATGTATTCCGTTTCCATTTGTTTCTTTAACACTTCGTCAGAGCGCGCTCGCTCGCGAGAGAGAGAGAGAGAGAGAGAGAGAGAGAGAGATAGGAGAGAATGGGGAGATGTTGATGCGTCTGAGCAAACACGCGATTACACTTACAAAATTGACTATATTGAAAAATTGGCTAATTTTTTACAAAGTTTATTAAATTTTCTTTTATAGCAAATCCTTTGAGTTGAAATGCTGACATGCAGTTGGATGGATACGAGCTAATTTTACTGGCAGTAATCTTCGTAGTTTTTTCTGAATAAGTCACTGAATAACAATGCTTAGTACATGTATCCGTCTCTCAAGTGTGTAATACATAAGCTATGATTTAAACTTTTAGGCAAATATTAACTTTTACTGCAATGGTATAAATAGTTTACTATATTTTCATGTTTTTGCGTATGTCGCTCATTATGTAAATAGTGGATAACTAGTATTTTTTAAACGTTTGCGAACAAAAATATATCAAAAATACAGGTTATACTTGGACTAGTAATTAATGCATTGCATTTCAAGTGTTTGCATAGAAAATTATTATTACCGGTATTGCTAATAAGCTGTGATTTCAACCTGTACACGTAGTGGTTTTTCTGAATAAGCCACACAGTAATAATTCTTAGTACATGTAACCGTCTCTCAAGTGTGTAATACATAAGCTATGATTTAAACTTTTATGCGAATATTAACTTTTACTACATTGGTATATTCAAGCATGTTTAACGTTAATTTTGTAACTGATGCAAAAAAATATAGTCTGTCAACAAATTTAATTTTTACAATAAACTAGTGTCACAATATTTATCTATTTAATTATACTGGCATGCGGCTTTAATAGGCAGCTTCAAAGATTATGAAGTATATCATTAATCAACGATTCTACCACGACCTTAGTCTATTCCCAAACTTAGCAGTCGCGCGCTGTTTATTGTTTCCATAGCAAGCATTTTTAACGTTGATTTTGTGACTGTATGGTGCAAGGAAACAGTCTGTTTTAGCAGGAAGTTTGCAGTCGCGTGTCGTTATGAATGCTGCTATATAGCAACCCCCATAAAAACCGGCTGGTGGTCTGCAGTAAACACGCGATTACACTTACAAAATTGACTATATTGAAAAATTTGCTAATTTTTTACAAAGTTCATTTCTTTTATAGCAAATCCTTTGAGATAAAATGTTGACATGTCAAGTTGGATGAATACGAGCTAATTTTACTGGCACGCTAGGTTTGAGCATATGAATATTGTAAGAGGCTGGTTTCACAATCTCATAAACTGTTCATAACGTAATTAAATTTTACTTGTTGTGCAAAAAGCGATGTTTGAAGGGTTAAACGATGTCATGACATCACATTACATGTCTATGTATGTTATCGTTCGCTAGAACTGTCGGAGGCACTCACCCAAGCCACTTTCCACAGATCCCACAATCTGGCAATTCCTGCCTCCAACATATATCTCTCACATATTCACCGAACATCTCCTGTTGCAGTCGACATTAACGATGCGCGCGCGTGTGTGCGTGTGTGTGTGCTTGTGTGTGTGTGTGTGTGTGTGTGTGTGTGAATCGCCAAGTGTAACCAACGTTTTTTTACAGTGGGCCTGGCCCCTCAATTAACATTTGGTTACCAGAGCGCAGACTTGTACCGGATTAGGTATCTAAGTGACTAATTTTCTGATATACTTGGTGACATTACAATGTAATGCCTTAAAAAGTGAGGAGTATGTATTTTTTAAACTCTAGCTCAGATAACTTGGCAGCCAATGCAAATGATATAAAACAGGTGATATATGATCAAACTTGGATACATGCATATAAGCGAGCAGCCTGATTTTGGACTCGCTGTAACTTATTCAGTTGTGACCTGGGGAGCCCATTAAAGTTAACATATTGCAGCAATCACAGACTAGTAATGAATGCGTGAATTAGAATTTTTGTTTGATCCGTAGAAAGAAACTTCGGATTCCTCTATATTATGAAGATGGCAAAAATGAAGTGACTGCCAGAGTTTAGAACATGAGTCTCCATCGTTAGCCGCGAATCAACAGCAACCACAGTTTCTGGTGCAGGATACTGGCGAAATGTTTACAACTCCCGGACAATGATATGCATCAATGTCACTTTGCACAGTTGTTGCGGTACCTATGATGAGGAATTCCGTCTTGTCGTCGTTCAAACATTAGGCCGATCAGCCAAAAGCATCCAGTACACGAGATATCTTTTATACAGGTTTCCATCGCCAGGAGACGCCTGTTACTGGAATGGCAGCCAGAATTTGGATTGAAGGACAGGTGACAGTTGGAGGTCATCAGATAGCGTGGATCATCCGGAGAATGAGCTTCAAATAGTTGCGAAAATTTTGGACGCATATATGTTGAAGAGCAAGAGGCCCTAGGCATGAGCCTTGTGGAACAACCCACTTTGTCAGTCGAAGCTGATTCTGATAGTCCACGTATGTGACACGCGCTGTGGATCTGTGTTGACAAAATGGATGGAAACCAGTCAAGGTGCTTTGGCCCGTAATGCCAATCCCTAGCACTGAAGGCGCCTTGAGTAATGTCATGATCGCGACAGTATCGGAAGCAGCACTTGAGATCAAAAGACAAGGAGAGTACTTTGCTGGTTGTTCATGTTCATTAATATGTCGTTCTTAACTCTTTAACGTGCCGTTCAGTGCTGTGTTGTTTCCTGTACCGCTGATTGATGATCGGAACAGTCCATTCACGGTCAGGTGATTGATAAATTTTGATCAATACTATTTTCTCGGTCAGTTTAGACACATAGTAGATTGCTGAATTGGGCGGTAATTTTTTAAAAACAAGGTCAAGGCCCGGGTTTTTTTTTCACAAGGGCCTATCACGCGTGCTTCTTTTCCAGTCCTTAGAATTGTAAGAGCTGTATCTAAAAAACGCTTGACCATGCATTAGTTAGAGCAGGTAATAGCTCGGGCGCAATGCCGCAATTGATAATTATGGGTTGGCAGTGGATCCAACGCGCGGACATTTTTGATGATTGTTTATATAATTTTTAACTTGTTCCGGCGACAGTAGCTGCAACTCCTCAAAATACAACAGCAGGTGCGTCGTTTACGGTTAGTTCACATGCCTGTATGCTGCTGCTTGCCGAGCGGATGTCTGGTATGTCATAATCTTTGAACAAAAAGTGCGCCGATTCGTATAGGCGAGCACAGAACTTATCCTCATTAATGGGATACCGGATATTTCGTTTGGCTTTAATAGCGTTTTGTAAGTCTAACAGTTTTCCTTGATCAAGCTATTGCGTAGCAATAAGTTGCCCCCCGTAAAAATTACGCCTGCTTCATTCATCCAAGTACGTTGTGCGGTTTTTGTAAGTTTATAAGTGGCATAATCGGACGAAGACTTTGATGTCCTCCAAATTTTTATTCTGCTTCCGTTTTTGTCTCGTTTGACATTCTAATGTTGTCGTCGGAACCAGGGCACACATTGTCCTTACCGTGATAGATTTGGTTCTGAGAGGAGCATGTGGTCTAGCAAGTTTGAAAGAGTGGTGGTTAGGATTTCACTGTAGTGAATTTAGATCATCGGGAGAGTTACGACATACGATCTGAAGCAGAGATATCCGCTTTAGTGACAGCTAGATCAATAGATTTTAGCTTCCGGTATTTTAGCTCCTTTACAGTAAATGTAGGTTTGGGGCCTTAAGATCACACATAACTGCAGTCATGATCAGAGAAAGGCAACCAACGCGTGCTGAACCACAGATAAATGTTTTCCGCT